CAATCAGGCACTGTAGAGGGCCGCTCGCAGTGGCCTCGGAGCTGCGAGCGGCCGCCCGATGACAGCCGGGTGAATGTGGCAGAGAAAGGGAGCCAGGGGCTTCGTTTAGCGGGGGTCGTGACGGCGCCCCCCCTCAGTCCTGCGCCCGGGGCAAGTGCCCCCCCTGCTGTTACGCCACTGTGCAACAGCCCCCTAAATTCTCTTGTCATGGACACATCTCAGGAAGGTTTGTGAGCCTGCTGCAGGTATGTGCACTACATGCATCAGTTTGCACTCCCTCTGTGACCACCAGTGACAGAGCCTCTTAAAAGTGATCATAGACTTTTAAATGGGAACACCTGAAAAATGTGCATAAACACGTATTTTTCAGGTGCTCCCATTAAACTCTACTGGACCAAAGCACTCAATCCTACCTGAAAAGAAGCTCATGTACTATTTCATGCTACAGACATCAGACTACAAGAACTTGACGCTCACATGTGAACAGGGGTCACTGAAAACAATAAACATACAAGCTGACATAAAATACTACTCACATGGTAATCACTGCATCAATGGTACAAGGCAGACCCCACACAAAGCTGCCTTGCTAGCTGACGCGTTACAAGGAATATACCCCCTTCCTCGGAGCTGTGTGGTATATTCCCCCGAAATGCGTCAGCGAGCAAGGCAGCATTGTGTGGGGTCTGCCTTGTACCATTCATTCAGTGATTACCATGTGAATAGTATTTTATGTCAGCTTGTATGTTCATTGATTAATAAACTGTATTACACGAGGACAAAGCGCTGTGTTTGTTTTGCATATTTTGTGAGGAATACTTCCCAGTGGCCTTTTGATGACGGCAGCCTGCAAACGATTGTTGGTGGAGAATATCATTGGGAGTCTGCTGAGCGCTGTGGTGTGTATTTTTCTGGAAAATCACAGATGTGTTCCACTAAGTGGTAATTAAAGTTTATTTCTCGTTTTCCACACCTTCAAGCTGTTTTAATAAGTAAGCAATGCATGGTTATACAAAGAATTTATTTTTCTTATTTCCATGTAGAAAAATACAATACAATAAAAGTTATATATTGCCCAATTAGGAAAATGAAAACATTTTGAAGAGAAGTTACACAGAAATCATAAAAGAATTAAACATCCAAAAATGAGCACTTAGAGCAATTACCGTATTTGCCGGCGTATAAGACGGGGTTTGAGACCCAAAAAAAATCGCCCGAAAATCGGGGGTCGTCTTATACGCCGGGTATACTTCGGTATACTGTATGTAGCTTCGGCTACATACAGTATACCGCGCTGAGCCAATCACGGCATTATTTTTACACAAAAAGTGGGGGGTCGTCTTATACGCCCAGCCGTCTTATACACCGGCAAATACGGTAGTTTGGTTTGAAAGCGCACAGACAGCAATAACTGCAGATTTGAGAAATTATATTTACATCACAATATGTTCACAGAACATATTTAAAGCAGAGATATCTAGATCAAACAAATTTGATCCCCTTTAGTTCTGGAGGAAAGTAATCTTGCTCTACTGGTTCCTTAAAGAGAGGATTATACTTATAGCCTTTAGCATAACCCAAATTCTTCATCAGTTTAGTGGGAGCATTCCGCAGATGGAGTGGAACTGGTGGAAGTGGCCCCTTATGGTTCTTCAAGCACTCCTTCACTTTATTGTATGCACTATAAGCAGCAACTGATTTAGGTGCTCGGGCTAAATACATAACACACTGAGCCAATATGACCTGAAAACATAAAATTAGAAAATGAAAAAAAAAATGCATTTCTTTGCTCACATTATAATGTTAGCATAACGTTAAAACCCATAGGAATAATGATACTGGACCAAGCAGTGATTTACTTAGACATCAATACTACAATGACTAAATTAAAACAAATCACCCTTAAAGTTGAAGTTTGCTTAAAAAAAAAAAAACAGCTTCAAAATAGGAATGAATGGGCCATGGCGTGCATGGCCATTGTGAAGATGGGCTGGCAGGGAAGATTTTCCCTTAAAGGGCTGTGTGGCCCTGGGCCACACAAAGAAGACCCCCGAACGAGGAGCAAGGTAAGTATTTCTCATGGCAGGCTGCACTAAAACTGGCCATACACGGCTCAACATTTGGTCAATTCCAGCGTTCACTTTATCTTCCAATCTTACAAAGGCGGTTTGGTGAAGGATTGGGCAGTAAGTAAGTTTTGACAAGATTGTCCACATTCCACCTGCTAAGGTCTGGCACTTGACTGTTCAAGTAACAAGGTATGCATTGTGTGGAGGCAGTATTACTTGTTCCCCTAAATTAGAAAGGTCTTCTACAGACTTAAGCAGCAGAGGGGTGAGTGGAAATAAGTGAATGCTTCCTGCAGTAAAGTGAACCTGTTACTTTCACAGTTGCAGGTTTGCTTAAGCATAACAATTACATGAATTTTCAATGTAACACAAGGGGACTTAAAGACTAAAAGTTAAAAGGAAATTCCAACAGAAGAGTTTTCTAAGACCAAGGGCACTGTAAAGTGCATGTCTCAGAAAAAATTGCAATACATGCACATTTGCTCATGTTTTGCCACTGCAAGCACAGAAAAGTTCCTGTTGATCTTGCCAGAAACCCAATGGGCTCCTAACGTCATGTTTGCGCTGCCAACACTGCCTCTGCTGCATTGAAATCCCAGGTAATGTTACAGGTAATGTTAAAACAATTATCATTATTGGCTATAAAAGCCAACCATTGCCCCCCATACACTAAAGAATAGTAACAATTGGTCTGCAGATAAAAACACCCATATGTTTTCCTAACTTGAGAAGTTGTCTACTTTGTAGCTGAAAATGAAAAATAACGTCAATGTGAATCTGTGACTAGGCTTTGGATCTTCTATTACTTACACATTCTTAACAAGTGGTCCCTCTGTAACTGTAGGCAGTAAGAAATGCAACGTAACAACAGGAGCACTAAGGTTGTCCAAGTCAGGTCTCTCCGCACCCAGTTCACCCAGTTCAGATTTCCTCTCCCAGAGCACCTGCTCAGTGATTACATTAGATATGTGACGTTTGGAAGGCTGCTGAGTAAAATCTAGGAGGGATGAGCAGGGTAGGCTGAGCTTTTGGAGAACAACTTGGAAGACTTCAGTGCTTCTGCTGTAAACTTTGATAATGCATATCTCCACAGTGCCTGCAGCTACGGAGGTCAGTGTGGGCTTCTCTTTAAGTTCATTTACTGCTTGTCACAAATATGTAAAGATTGAATGGCCAAAGATTTACTTCAAGTTCAGAATCAGTAGTGCTTTGTTATTTGATATGACAAGGGCAATGTGGTATGTTCTCTTCTGCAATATTTTTTCTACTGCTGTTTGCAGAAATCATCCATAAGCCAGCATAATAACCTGAAGCTACCTGCTGCATCTCAATTTAGTCTATAAAAACTTTTTTCACCAGCTTTCCTGGTACCAAGAAGCTGTGTAGGTCTTTTGCTGTCTTGACGGAAACATGTTTCATGTAGACTATATGTTCAGGATAAGAAAATAGGAAGCATATTAATATTAGAGGGGAATTTAAGGCAAAAAAACCCCAACTCAAAATACTTTTTACAGTAGTACGTAAATCCCATAACTCAATGTTGTACATACTATACACATGCATCATGCAAAGGCTCATTTTTAATACCTGGTATTTGGTTTTAATTACATGGGGTGAATTGTCCTTGTTCTCATGTTTTAACAGTAACTAGGCCTGCAGTTACAGGATGTATGACTTTTGGGTTTGGTATCCTATTGTTCATGCTGCACAGGTTGACACCTATTTATACATCCTTGGTAATGGCATAAAGGATTGTAGACACTATGCAATACGTTTGTATTCCTGCGGTTGTATTTAATCCATATTACGTCAATGTTAGATTGTAAACCTAAGTGAACACATTTGAAAACTATTTGAACAGAAGCCAGACGAACTGGTGTCTAGGCTTCCTGAGAGATTCTTTGCGCCTCATACCTTAATGCCTGCTCATCACTTTCTGAAATATAACAGTATAGCTTTTAACACTGTTTAAATTACCTACATTTACACTATGGTAAGACTGCCATAAAGTATTATCTATTGGATGCTTTCATACGGCGCAGTATTCTAGGTTCCTAAAACTAAAGCTTGAACAGGAAAGGAGATAAAATCAGACTATCATAAATAAAACAGAAAATTGTCACATGGAATTAAACTTACAGGTGTGTACTTAGATAGAAAGAAAAGCTTGTGATAAGAAAAGTCACTTACGTCGCATTCCGGCATTCCAATAAAATGGGAGGCTTGATAAGCTGACACTGCTTGAGTTAAAGCCAAGGGATCAGCTAAACCTGTGAAACCAAAAAAAAAGCATTATTTATAAAAATCTAAAAAGCAATACAAACAAAAAAAATACAAATTCTACTTTGTTTTAAAGGAAATGCTTTCTTTATTTCAATACCATATAAATAAAATAATTCTAAACTAACCTAAAATAGTATTAAACTTTCAATCTTTTTTTCAATAATGATTCCAGATCAAATACATAAAAACATTACCCAGCAAAGCAAATCATAGTCATCATGTTTCCAAACAGCTCCAACTCTCTCAGCTCAGCTTTCCTTAACTTCCTGTTGACTACAAGATCACAAGCACAGCATCTATCTACTAGCTTGAAGAAGGGGAGCAGCAAGGAGGGTAGTAGATTGCTTGCTGTGCCTGTGTGTTTGTGGAGACACACACAGCTTACAAGAACACACAGGGGTGGCTCCATAGTCCCTGCAAACAGGATTTCAGGCCCAGTGCTCAGGAGATGAGATCAGTTGATTCTGCAGGAAGTGAAACCTATTAAACATCAAGGAGCAGCAACCAGTGCTTTTCACAAAAGGGTGAAGAGTTTGGAGAAGGCAGGAGAAGTGAACAATCTAGGACAACATAGCTGAACTGGAAAGTGAGCTGCATTGGAGAATATTTCCAAATCAGCTATGTTGTCCTAGATTGTTCACTTCTCCTGCCTTCTCCAAACTCTTCACCCTTTTGTGAATAACCCTATTAAAATAGTTCAAAGACCTTTCATATTAACATCATTTTAAAGCCCAATTGAACTCTCAGTTTAAGGACTGGTTCACAGCATAGCGCTGTGCTAAACGAAAGATACCATGCATTTAGCACACACTATTGCACAGCGTACCCAGCATGTGGTACCATGTGCTAAGTGCATTGCCATTCATTTGAATGGCACCCTATGCACCTCCAGGTGGTTGCAGCACAGTGCATGGTAACAGAATACCAGTGGAAAAAAAATAGTGCATGCACTCCAACTACACAAATGCTGAAAGGAGAGTTAGGATGCTATTCAGATGAATGGCAATGTAACGCACCTAGGGCACAGTATCGCATGCTAGGTGTGCTGTGCGATACCTATAGTGTGAATCAGCCCTAAATCAGCTAAATACATTTCAGGTGCATCAAAAAAGGTGATCAATATCTTACAGTTTGTTTTCTCTAACAAGTAACCACAGCCTGAGTAGAAAGCCTGTTTGCTGTCAGCATGCTGCAGAACAGAACCATTGCTCTCTGCGTGCAATTAGTGATCACCATGCTGAGGTTGAACACCCCCTGCTGAGTCAGAGCTGGAACTCTCCAACCAGCAGGGAGCAATAGCTTTGCTGATTGCAGGGCTATACAGTGAGGCAAATAATTATTTGTTCCCCTATTCTAAATGATAGAGACAGAATATCAAAAACAAAAATCCAGGAGAAGCACATGATACAAATGATATAAATTAATTTGCAGTGCAGCGAGTAAAATAGGTATTTGATCCCCTAACAACCAACAATAATTCTGGCTCCCACAGACTGGCTATGTGGTACATAGATTAGTCCTGTCAATGTAAGAAGGTGCTCCTAACGACAACTCGTTATGTATATAAAAGACACCTGTCCACAGAATCTCTTTCTTCCATTCAAATCTCACCATCATGGGCAAGACCAGAAAGCTGTCAAAGGACGTTAGGGACAAGATTGTTGACCTGCACAAGGCTGGAACGGGCTGCAGGACTATCAGCAAGAAGCTTGGTGAGAACGAAACAACTGTTGGAGCGATTATTTGCAAATGGAAGGAATACAAGGTAACCATCAATCACCCTCAGTCTGGAGCCCCATGCAAGATTTCGCCTCATGGGGTGAGGATGATCATGAGAAAAGTGAGGGATCAGCCCCGAACTACACAGGAAGAGCTTGTGAATGATCTCAAGGCGGTTGGGACCACAGTCACCAAACAAACCATTGGTAACACAATACAACGCCAAGGATTGAGATCCTGCAGCGCCCGCAAGGTGCCCCTCCTCAACAAGGCACATGTACAGGCCATTTGAAGGTTGCCAATGAACATCTAAATGATTCAGAGAAGGATTGGGAGAAAGTGCTGTGGTCAGATGAGACCAAAATTGAGCTCTTTGGCATTAAGTCGACTCGCCGTGTTTGGAGGTAGAAAAAGGCTGACTATGACCCTAAGAACACCATCCCTACAGTCAAGCACGGAGGTGGAAACATTATGCTTTGGGGCTGTTTCTCTGCTAAAGGTACAGGCCGACTTTGCCGCATTGAGGGGCCAATGGATGGGGCTGTGTACTGTAAATTCTTGGATGAGAACCTCTTTCCCTCAGCCAGAACCCTGAAGGTGAGTCGCGGATTTTCAGCATGACAATTAGCCAAAACATACCGCCAAGGCAACAAAGCAGTGGCTCAAAAAGAAGCACATTAAGGTCATGGAGTGGCCTAGCCATTCTCCAGACCTTAATACTAAAAAACAATTATTGGAGGGAGCTGAAACTTCGAGTTGCCAAGCGACAGCCAAGAAACCTTAAGGATTTAGAGAAGATCTGTAAAGAAAAGTGGACCAAAATCCCTCCTGAGATGTGTGCAAACCTGGTAAGCAACTACAAGAAATGTCTTACCTCTGTGCTTGCCAACAAGGGTTTCTCCACCAAGTACTAAGTCATGTTTTGCTTGGGAATCAAATACTTATTTTACTCACTGAACTGCAACTCAATTTATAACATTTGTATCATGTGTTTTTTCTGGATTTTTGGTTGATATTCTGTCTCTATCATTTAAAATACACCTATGATAAAAATTATAGACCTTTCATTTCTTTGTAAGTGGGCAAACTTACAAAATCTGCAGGGGATCAAATAATTATTTGCCACACTGTAGAACTGACCTCTGCAGAGAGAACATAGCTTCATGGCTTCACAGAAAGCATGCGCCCCACTCTTTCGAAAGAAGACAATGAGCACCTTTTTTTCAATGCACAAAAAAAGTCTCTTCAAAATTCTGTCACTATCAACATGGATTTCTAATGATGACATTTTCTAATGATGCGGTTGTGATAAATCCTTTTTTTGATACCACCTATTCATGAAGGTTGATCTACAAAGTCTATAAACAGGGTAGTTTATTATTACATAACTCAACAAATGCAGCGCCTGAAGATGATGAGGGTGAGGTGGCTCAACAAGGATTACATACCTATATCTTCACTTGCAAATCTTACAAGTCGTCTAGCCACATAAAGGGGGTCTTCACCACCTTCAAGCATTCGACCGAGCCAATACAAAGAGGCATTCTGATCAGATCCTCGCATAGACTTGTGTAATGCTGATATACAGTTGTAGTGTTCTTCTCCTACAAAGTCAGCAACACAAAATATAAATATTATCACTCTTATTTCACAAGTTGCTATAGAGGTTCCTGCAAGGTATCTATGCTACGCATGAAAATGCCCCAATAGCGGCCCTTTAAATTTGTAAACAGGCGCTGTGCTTCACAGTAAGACTGCTGAGGTCCCCAGCAACATCCTGGCAGCCTTCCTGTGAATTGCGGTGCCTGTTTACTGCGACGGTAGCAAATCTCCTCCACTCAGCCCTCCTAGGACCGCGCACAGCCACCTGAGAGTCTGCACAGCCCACCATGAGAGTCTGCACAGCCCACCATGAGAGTCTGCACAGCCCACCATGAGAGTCTGCACAGCCCACCATGAGAGTCTGCACAGCCCACCGTAGAGTCTGCACAGCCCACCGTAGAGTCTGCACAGCCCCCCATAGAGTCTGCACAGCCCCCCATAGAGTCTGCACAGCCCACCATAGAGTCTGCACAGCCCACCGTAGAGTCCGCACTATTACAATAATTGCCATTATTTTTCCTAGACTTCTACTTTCAGAGCTAGTTATTATTACTAAAAGTAGTAATAATTGAATGCCGAGGCAATTATTTAACATGATAAAGAGGGCAACCATAATGCTGATGCGGTCCACAATGAAATTGAGTTCGACACCCCTGCTGTAGAGGAATAGGTTTACAATGGTAGCAGTTGGCAGGTGTTGCAGGGAGCATGGACATTTAAACCAAATATACAAATGGTACTCTCCTATGATGCCAGTGGTTATTTTGGAAAGAGGGCAGTTATCTTATTAGATGCTGGCCCTTTAAAAGGCGGTGTGGTAGCTACTAACCATAAGCATAGTAAAGAACAGTACCTGCAACTAATACCCAGGAGAGCAGAAGGGAGCTACATGTGAACATTAGAGCTATCCCAACTTAAACAGATGGTACATGTATCCAGCAAAAACCCAGCCCACAGTGGCAGAATCACTGCTCAGACACTAAAAAGAATCGTATCAAGCCACATAGGATCTACTCACATCAAAGTCTGTATAAGATTTAATAGCACAATACTGTACCCAGCATGGGGGAATAAAAATCTGACATATACACACAGTGAATCCATGGATACAGTAAGCATATTGCACAGTGTTGCAACATTCTTATGCCCCAGATCAATCTCTGCTAATACCCTAATTTGTGTTAGAGGACTTGATACTCCAGTTTCTAGTGGACATATGAGTCTTGATGAATGGCTGCGAATATGTTTATCACATATAGAGGCATTAAAGAAACAGCTGCATCTCTGAGAGACGACTGATAAACAGAAAACGAGTTACTAAATAACAGATCAGTAGTACAAACCATAAAGGGTATACTTTGATATGTTTTGTTAAAGGATCACGCTTGCTCTGCTAGTCAACCAAGTGAAAATTATATCCCCTACTTAGGCTTATTTTTACACCACATGAAAAAAATAATAATACAGTAGCAATTGTATGACAACATTGCATGGCAAGCAATGAACACCCATATTGAATTAAAATGTTTTCATACTTGTTCCACAATGTTTATAACACCACAATTAAAGTACATTTCCACTTTTACAGACACATTTGGATAGCCTATTTTATATCTGTTATATGTTCCCATTCACATTGCATAACTTTGCAAAATATTTAAAAACACTGCTGCTTACCTTTTTACCTGATTTTAGTAGCCGCAAAATATTATTAAGCTCCTTCTATGCAATGCTAAAGTAGTATCAAACTCTCAAAGAAATATAAATTCTCAGCAAAGTATTTCTGTATATGTTTTCACTCAAGCATTTACAGTTATTATGTTTTCAAACAGCTGTCTCCAACTCTCTCAGCTCGACTTCCCACAACTTCCTGTCCAGTACAAGATCACAAGGAACAGAGCAGTCTGAAGCAGCTGTCCATCGACTAGCTTGGAAAACGGAGGAGCAAACAACAGAGGATTACATTGTCTTGCTGTGAGTGACTGTTTGTGGAGACACAAAGGTTACTTGCAAACAATGGTGGTTCCCTGGGACCATGCAAGGGAAAGGAGCCACCCTAAAACAGGAGGATATCAGGGCCAGTGCTCAGGGGACCAGCTGATTCTGTAGGAGGGTAAAACTTTTAAACATCAAGGTGTAGCATCCATTGTAAGAGATATAATCTGTATTTGGAAACAGAGCTTAAAACCCCTTTGACTTTAATATCACTTTAAGGATGGCTACAACTAAGGCCCAGTTTGGGGGCTGAAACATGTAAGCATTTGTTTGTTTGCTGCTGTTATGCCTTTTAACAAAGTACTGGATGGATGGATCCCCTTGCAAGCTACGTTTTTTTTACCTATTGCACTTTAAGGAAGGGACTGGGGAGTTATGTTTGCCATAATTAATAAATAAACTGTGCTGGCAGATTTCCATTATCAGTTTTAAACTAGATGTGCATGACTGTCTGTCCTAACAAAGGGTTAATTATCTCAGGGTGTGGGTGGTACATTATGTCCCTTATCTCGATATTGCCATATTTTTCTCATTATTTCTGGTATGCTGTATGAATGGGAACACATAAACATATCATGGGGGGTTCCCAAATTTGCAAAAGTCAAAACATACTTTAATTCAAAGCTGAAAAAGCAGAGGTAAAAATAGAGAACATTACCATCTTCGTACAATACATGTCCTTCCAGTATAGATAACAGAACACCCGATGACAGCTATTTTTATCATACTCTTCACAAAAGAACTCCCTGGCATGTCTTCATTATCATGCCAAGCTTAACAATGTACTAGTTCTGGAGGCTTACATTCAAGCCTTCAACTTACAGATTAAGTTTGCAACAATACACCCAGGCAGCTGAACATGTGTTGGTGTCTAAGGCGTCACTCAGTCTCCATGTAAGAATCACTGTGGCCTTAGCGGACCGAGGAAAGCCTTGTAGGATAACTTTCGGCTACAATAACTGGAATTTACGCAGTGAAAATAAAAACAAGTAAAACAAAATGAAAATAAGCAAACAAGTAAGAGAACATAATTGCACGGGATGATGTAATATTGTTATATTAATGAGGACCTTTGTTTCTGATTTTACCCTGTGAAAAAAAGCAGGAACTAAATTGTGTCCAGAAATAGTTTTCTCCAGGAGATTCGTAATGTTTAGGAACAGCAAACCCACAATGCAGGCCACATACAAATCAGCTACCTCCAAGATGCTTACTGATTACCCATTTTCTCATCTCCAAGCTTTACTACCTGATTCCCCGTGTAACTTTGAATATTACCGTACTTTTTTCTATGAAATACATGAATACTAAAAAAATGGCCATTCATTAGTTCAAATGGCAATAGATAATTATAGGTCAAAACATTCTTGTATTAGATTACATTTGTAGCATAGTTTTTGGCATTGCAATAAGGCCAGGTTCACACCTGGGCGATCCCTGACTGCGCGGCAATCGTGCACGAAACCGTGAGGATGGCAGTGCGGTCACGGAGTGGCACACTATCGCTGATCGTGCTGGTAATGCCATTATTTTCTAATGGCACCCTAGTCGTGCTAGGCAGATTGTGCGGTTTCCCACCGAACTTGCGCCCGTGCAAACGCGCATTGCGTGTCGTGAAAAAAAAGGTAAGTGTACCTTTTTTCAGCAAATGTTGCAGAGAGTTCGAACCCCATTGAAAATAATAGGGCTGCGCGGCAACCGCTGCGTGCAACTGCATACAATTGCACGTGTCCCGGGATAGCCCAAGTCTGCACCAGCCCTCAAGATGCCCAGAAAGAACCGCGCAGCTACACAATGTATGCAAATTGGATAGTGTAGATGCCTACCTGCCCCTTCCCATCTCCTGAACATTCCTAATGGCCAGTGAGGCAGCCTACTCGGATGTGCTGGAGCTTGCCACTACTTACCCCGAAGTGTCACAGTTTTGTCTGTCAGAAAGTACTGCCATTTGGCTGTAGGAGAGCATTACAGGCTGAGCCTACACTTCATAACTGCAAGTTTTTATTTTTACGGCAGGGTGTCTTTAAAGTGAAATCAGGCGTTAATATAACAGAAGGATAGCACATTTTATTTCTAAAAGATAATCCAGTCAAGGCTGACATAATGGGCCAAAGTGGATTTTTTCAGAAAATGGTGATTAGTTACAAGTCAGTTACAATGTATGTACTCTCAGGAGTTTGTATGTTGTTGTGGACTTAAAGTCTTCTACTAGGCATTAATGGTAATTAACTTCAGCCAAAACGTAATTTTTTATGTTTTGTACAGAGAGAGCCAGAGTTAGAATCTCTTTTTTTTGCTGTTCCTGATTTGGGATATTTCTCTTCACTTCCTTTGCATCAAAGTACTCCTAGTAACTAAATCCAAATTATTTACCAGGGAAATTCATTCATGTAATGTACTATAAGCTGTTACCATGTAAGTATCAGCATGTATAGTACTACATGTGTTATAGCACTACAAAAATGAATTCTTACCGCAACTTGTATGAGCAGTGGAAAGTAGGAGTGTGCTTACCAGCATTTGTAAATTGTTTCCACAAGGCCTGAAACATCCCATTGCATTTAGATGTCATGTATGCACACATAGAAGTGTTGACAGGCAGATTTATGGCTACAATTGCAAAAAAAGCAAGTCATCTTTGTAGTGTTCATTGGGATCCACAAGAGGGAGGTCAGGAAAGAGTGTTTAATATATTCCTGGTGCAAGGTTCTGGGAAAAGGACAACCTGTTTTAGCAGACCATGGATTTACAGGCAAGGTAAATTCTGCAGTTTTTATTATCCTTATGTGAAATGGAAAATATGTTCCCATACAGAGGCAAGGTGCTCTTTCCTATAAATAGGATGCAAAATAAGACTAGTGTCATATCAATGTCAAAGAAAAATTAAGACTGTAAAAGCCAGCTTGATTTTTGTTTAGCATGACTACTTTTGTAATACTCAAAACTTAGCCCCAGCCAATGCTTTGGATAGATTGGGGAGGAGTTGCATGTATTGTTAAGTTCTTTA